GAAGGTGACCCTCGATTATTATCCAGGACCTCATAATTATGGGTACTACATAGTACTCCATGCTTGCGATCGCTTGCGTACGTTGGCATTGCTAGTCGATATGATAAGGCTCTACGGCCGCGCGATTTTTTATATTGAGCCTCGCGCGTGCCGCTTACTTGATTTTTTCGCAGCGAAAGGTTATGGGATAGACGCTGAAGGGACTAGGAGTGTTGTCGCGTTGTTTTTAGTGTTTGTGTGTGTTATTTATTTTTGCGCTTTGTAGAGTGGTGTGCGCGTGGCGAGTGGGATACGTCCTAGTCGACCGACGACGGGCCGCGCTTGGGACTTCAGCCCCCCAAGACGTCGGTTCGCGTGCGGGTTCGATAGAGGCGTATTACAGCGCGTACCCCCTATGCTACAGTGAACGAGAAACGCCCTCGGCTGGTCCACCTCTGCGATTGCAACTGATTAGCTTTCGTACTGTGGACTGGTAGCTCGCCGGGGATACGCCCACTGAAGGGAGGTGAGAGCTCCCGTAAGGTGGAGGTAAATCGTGCCTCGCGTAGGCCCTATCCTGTCGTAGGGGCTCGCCGGAGGTATGGTTGGCGCACTCGGCTGGAGCGGCTTGCGGAAGCTCCATGTATATTGCGACGAAGGATTTAAACCAACTCCTGTGTGACGCGGCCGGTAGGGTCCCGCGCTGCCCTGGTGCGGTGCCGGACCGATGCGCTCGACACCGCCCCGACCACGGCCACTTTCAGCCGATGCTAATCTATGCTCGAGCCAGTCGCGGACGAACGTTGGAGGTTCTTAGCCTCCTTGTTCGTGACAATAATCTGCGCATCCTTGTCGAAGAGCTCCGCCATTGTCGTCAGGATGTCTTCGACGTGAGTCAAGGCGTTGCCCAACGCCGGACACGACCTCGAGATGAAGTAGTGTTTGACGGCCTTGAAGCCCATTTGAATGTCTCGGACGGATGTCAAGCGTTGGTACTCGGCAATCTAGTCAACACTCGACAACGAGCCTTGTTCGAAGGTCATCAACTTGTCCATTGCATTGATCTCCGGCGACTCTACTTGGAACCGCTTATGCCACGCCGCCTTTAGATCATCCCAACTGATCTTGGTGTACAAGTCGGCAGCTACCACCCCATACTTAGACAAGAGATTGTCCAACCATGCTTGGCACGCGCCCCCCAATCGGGAGTACAAGTATGCATGATGTTTGTCCTCGCTGACGTGGTGTAGCTGCAACTTGAGCTCGAACTTGCGGAACCACGGAATTGGGTCCGTCTTCGTCGAATCGCAGAAGATCTCCTAATCATTGAACCTTGGCGTCGTCTCGCGCGGTGCCGCATATGGGTTGGCGGCGGCAGCACAGATGCGCTGGTCCAGTTGTGGCGTGGCGGTTTGTTGTAGCTGCGTGTCGTCCTTGAGGGCGCCGACGTCGATCTCCAATGCATTGAGGCGATCAGAGGTGTTGGAGGAGCTGGCATCGGGGGCGGCGACGGGTCGTTGCTCCAGCTGCTAGAGGCTGCTGAGTTGATCCAACGCGTCGTCGAGGTTGTGGATGTCCTCCTGCTGTGTAATGCATGTTGCCAGGAGATCCGTGAGATGGGAGAGGAGTAGAGCGATCTTGCTTCCACTCCCTTCCATCTTACCATTCGCGGCCTCGGCCCGCCAGTCCGCTGCCATTGTGAGCAAAGCTCGCTCTCCGCTGAATATCTTCTCGCATCGTTGAATTCGTTCTTCATTGGCAGCCTTTGCTGCTGCCTCGTCTTGCTGGCGCTGCTGTTCGATTGCCAACAGACGTGCCTTCTGGGCATCCTCTGCCTTCTTCTTTGCTGCGGCTGCTACTGCATCCGACCGTTGCTTGGCTTCCGTAAGCAGAAGCAGCATCCGGGCCTGATAGGCCTCGTCCGTTTCCCCGGACTTCTGGTCCATGACGGCTGTTTGCGAGCGCGTGAGCATAAACCAGGCCAGGGGCCTGCTGACGTGGCACTCCCTGCTGCTGACGTGTCCTGCTGATGTGTCCTGCTGACGTGGCAACTTACCAATGCTGCCGCAGGAGGTACTCGGAGAGTCGGAGACCGATAGAGAAGATAAGACCAGAGGGGGCAACAACGTAGGTGGGGAGGGGTAGGGGGGGATAAGAAGCCACTAATCAAAAAAGAAAAGTTCGATCTTTGTGAAAATTTCGAGAAAAAGAAAAAACAAATACTCGTTTGCAAGTTCAGTAGGCCTCCCAATTCCCCCTGAAGTGCGAAATAACGATAAGAGAATTCCGAAAATAAAATAACATAAAAATATTCCGAATTACTCAGATGAGAGTACGCGCAGTTTGGAAAATGGTCACTGCAAGAGGGATTTCCCGTACCATTTTCAAATCTCGAAAAACGAATTTCGGAAATGACAGAAAAAAAATATTCCGGATTTCCAAATAACGGGAATTTGCAAAAGGAAATCGAAATTTTCGAAAAAAGATATTCCGGATTTCCAACAACGAAATTTCAGGTGCTGCGCTATTGCGATTTTCCACAACAGAAATAGCAGGAAAACAAAATCCAAGAAAAGAAGAAAAAAAATCGATTTTCGGCAGTGAGGTCAAAGTTGTGATTTGGGGGGCTAGTTAGTGTGGTCTAATCAATCAATCAATCAATCAAGACTACTCAACTAACTAGTCCTCGCACACGTGTCCGATCAGGTTGTCCTGATTCACGTGTGGTGTTCCGATACCAACTGTTACATGCCAATGTACATATATAACCAAGGATCCGCAATGTGATGAAAAGGACTGAATGGACAATGCAGTGCTAGTGGAATATCAACAAGCAGTGTACATCCTGATACATACAAAAATGGTGCTTTGTAGCGCAGTGGAAGACTTCGATATAAGTCCTGACCTGACCGGGACT